GGCCGCCGTTATTCTTTATCGGAGCATGAGACATCTGTCGTAATAAGTGCGGACTAAAAAATAGTGCGTACGCAGAGAGAGAGAAAGAGAGAGAGCGAGAGAGAGAGGAAGAGAGACAGAAGAGAGCAACGGAGAAAAGAGAGCCGAAGCCACGATGGTGGGGAGCTTTATGCCTGTGGCCGCATCGGCCGTGCTTCCCCTTTCACCCCGCTTCACCCTGCCCAGCCCACCTCTTTTCTCCTCTGCTCTCTCGCGCTCTCGTGCTCTCTCCTCCGTGATCCTCTCTCTCTCTCTCTGTCCCTCCGTCGTTCTCTCACCCTCGGTTCTCTCTCCTCTCTTACGAGCCCACCCCACTTCACCCGTTAGCCCGCGAGACGAAAATGCGCAAAGCTAACGACTTCCAATTAAAAGTGCTGGAGCTGGAATTTTAAAGACGCCACCACTGCCTACTGCTCCCAAAGCCGATTCGCGCGATTCCCGTGCCCGCGAGGATCGTCGCGAATAGACCGTGACCGTCGTCCTGATTATCCTCGGCGCCGACTGGACCGATATCGCGACGATACGCTCGAGGCTCTCGAGTTTCGGTAACGCTTCGCGAAATCGAAATTCCCGCCACACCGTTCTGATCTTGGTTGTTCACTTACGACGATGGTCGCGCACGCCACCCGGTAGCCGGTATCTTCCCAAGATTCCCATGTAATATCGTTCGACTCGATACGTTCGAAGGTGCCCCGTCTCTCGACTGGCTAGAATCTAACCATCCATCTATTCGGCAGTCGACGGCCTGTCTCGTGGAACCCTCCTGCCGTCCTGCTCCTGCCTAAGCTCGCGCCCGCAGCTACTACTACCCCCTCTGCCGGTGCTGTAGGCGACCCCACTCGATTCGCCCCTCAAAAAATCATTACGCCCTTCCGCGGGCTGCGCATGAACGCGGTTTTAATTCGCTACTAGAAAAGTAAAATGTAAACGCCGCTGGATGAGAGGGACAAGGGAGGGTGTGGAGGGTGGGTCGAACAGGAGGTTGGTGCGGGCTTAGGAAGGGCGAGGGAACGAGAGAGCAAGGAAACGAGCGAAAAGGGCGGCGGGGAAGTTGGATGGAACGTGAAAAGAGGAAAGAGAAAGAGAGAGAGAGAGGGAGAGAGAAAGTGACAGAGAGAAAGAAGAGGTTAAAGCGAGGGAAAAAGCGAGTAGGAGAACGGGAAAGGAAGATTGGTGGGACAGAGAGGGAGAAAGAAGCAAAGTTTCGCGAACATAGTCGAGGACGAAACGAACGAGGAGGACGAGGTACGCGACGACTGTGAGAGCGCGACGTAGGACAGATCCTTTTTCCACCGACGCGACGGAAAGAGGAGTAACGGGAGAGTAAGAGAGAGAGGGAGAGGGAGAAAGACGGAAGACGACACGGAGATGGAGGGAGCCGGGCGAGAGGAGGATACGCTCCCCTACTTCTCTAGGGGTTCCATTGTAATATTTATTGATTGGATTCCTAGGAGCCAAAGCTGAGGGCTGTGGCACCTATACTTCGTCTAGATTGCCTAGAAATGTTTCCGTGCACCGCCGAGAGAACCGTTTTCCCGATCCTGGCGTTTTCTTCGACGGGGCCAGCGGACCGGAGAAACGTTCCACTGACCTTGCTCGAATAATTCACGGTAAATAGCCGTAAGCCGAGATGCGAAGCTTTACACCGATCAACCAGTCACGAAATAAATCCTGCGTGAAAAATGTTTGAAACGCTCTCTCGAACATTGATTCCTCGAAAATTAAAAAAAAAAAAAAACGAGAGTGGGACCGAGGGTGAGAGACAGAGAGGTGGCGGAAGAGAGAGAAGGAACGAAGAGCGCAAAACGTTAATCCTTTTAATCGAAATCGGTTCGACGATAAAGCGTATCGAAATAAAACGCGTTTATCCCATCACGGGCAATTGTGTTTGAAAAAGAAAAATCGACCGTTTGAGCGATGAATCACGGCCGGTGGTTCGCGCTCTATTTCCCTGTTAAAAGTAACTGCGCAAAAACCCATAATTGCGAGCTATTTTATTTTTCTATAAACGCCAATTGAACGGAACAAACCGACCGGTCGGGAACAGAGTGTCGAATAACGAGCGAACGATCTAGAAAAGGATAGATCCCCCGTCGACGTTGTCGTCGTCGTTGCTATTCTCATTCAACGTCGCGCCATTGAGACAGCAGAAACGTTACGACACGACGCCTTTTTCATCCCCTCTCCGATCTATCGGTGGACGATACATTGAACGCGTCGCGTCGTTTCCTATGGAATACGCCATCGGAGTCTATGAGTCAGTTGCCCTTGAACGTGCATATTCAGGATGCCGCGCGTTACGCGTCTCCCTCGCCTCTCCTACGTACACCTCCGCGTTTGCAGAATCGAGGCTACGGCTGAAAAATTAATCGACTGCCGCGAGGGAGGAAGGGGACGCAAAGAAACCCCGTAAGTAACAACGGTGCGAGACCGTTTGCGCGTTAAACGTTGAATCGCAGTAAAACACGGGGCCTAAGGATAATGCATAATAACGAGAAACGCGAACGAGGGCGCACGCGTGCAAGTAGAACGTACGTAGCTCGAACCGAAAACACGTGTACGGAAAATGCAGATGTTTCGACCGGTCCTTCGTAGCGGCATACACAATTTCGTAGTGTCCCACCTGCGTTAGATTCGATCGCGTGATACACGATCCTCTCCCCGTTTCGCTAGCGAGCGCTTCTGTCTGTGCGTAATTTTGCAGCTGCCCG